AGCCCCCGCCGACCCCACGCCGTGCGGGTCTCGACTCCACGCCGTGCTGGTCGCGACTTCAACTCCGGCGCGGCCCGCGGCCGACCCTAGGTCTCGGCGTGAGGCGGAAGTCTGCGTGGCGGGGCCCGGGCGCCGCCATCTTGCCGCAGGGCGGAAGTGAGGTCGGTGGGCGGGGCCTGCCACCCTATTTATCCGGCGGCGCCCCGCGCGCCTCCGCCTTCTCTTCCCGGTTCTTCCCGGAGTCGGGAAAAGCTGGGTTGAGAGGGCGAAAAAGGAAGAGGGGGCTGTGCCTGGTTTCGCCTCAGGGTCTTGGCCTAGGGCGGAGGGGGCCGGCGGCGCCCCGCTCTGCCGGTGGAGGCCTTGGCCGCCGCCGTCACGCCGTGTGGGGAGTCTCCGCGGAGGACCGAGGGGCACTGGGGTCGCGGCTCCGATGGGGAGAGGGGCGCGGGCAGAGACGGGGACCCGGACTCACGGTCGGGGAGCCCTGGCTGGCTGCGGGCTCGGTGGTGACCTTGGCAGGGTCACTGCTCCCCGGGCAGCGGCGTCGCCCTCGCCGGGAGGTCCTTTCCCTGCACTCCCGGGGGTCCTGCGTGAGGCTGCGGCGCCCGCTCGAGCCGCTGCGCAGACCCTCCGAGACCCGGGTGGGGGCCCCGGGTCCACGCCTGGAGCCCGAAAATCCAAGTTTGCGCTTCTGGAAGGGATGGATTTAAAGGACTCTTACTTGACTCGGCATTTGTAATTTAACGTGAAGAATAGCCTTTGCTGTTATTTCCCCCACCCCCACCATGAAACCATGAAACATTAGGCCAAGTGAGGCAAGGAAACATCCCCCATGGAGTAGTGGTAAACCTCTGCGGTGTGTCCCCGGCGCCTTCACATAGCTGTCCTATTGCGCTGCAGTTTTGAACCCTCCCTTTTCAAACATTTCTTGGTTGCTCTATCAGAAGACGGTCATTCTCAGGCGGCTATGTCATGATTTGCCTGTTTTCCTGTTGGGACACTTAGGTCCCCGGTGTAAACACGCTGTAGTGAACATCTGGTGCGTTTAACGCTTTTTCTTCTTTTGGATTGTATCCGTAGGATGACATTTCTTGACTGGTGATAACTGTCCAAATGATGTACTTTTTTTCTTCAGTAATTTTTTTTTAATGTAGAGATCATTGTAGACCCACGTGCAGTTGTAATAAATAATGCAGACACCTCAAGCACCCTTTTCTATTCCTGGTCAGGACAAACACCCAGGTTGTGGGTTCCATCCCCACAGGGGTATATAGGAGGCAACCAATCCATGTTTCTTCTCTCTCTCTCTCTCTTTCTCTCTCTCTCTCTCTCTCTCTCTCTCTCGTCAATAAAAATATCCTTGGATGAGGATTTAAAAGGAAAGTAACACTGATACAGTCAAAATACAAGACACTTCCATCACCATAAGGACCCTTCCTGTTGCCCTTTTATAGCCACACCTTCCTCACCCCCACTCACCCCCAGCAACCACTAATCTGTTCTCTATTTTTATACTTGTATTATTTCAAAAGTGGAAATCATTCAAAAATGGAATCGTACATTATGTGACTTCTTTTTTTACTGAGCATAACTCCCTGGAGATTATCCAAGTTGTGTTTATCATTAATTTGTTCCTTTTATTGACGAGTAACCATGGTTGGTTTAACTGCACTTTGAAGGCTATTATGAATAAAGCTGCTATGAACACACATGTACAGGTTTTTGTGTGCACATAAGTTTTTATTTCTCTGGGATTAATGCTCAAGAGAGCAATTGTTGGGTCAAATGGTAGGTGTATGCTTAGTTTTCTAAGAAAACTGACCCTGTCCGCTGGCACTGGTCGCAGTCTGTGGGGCAATCAGCGGGCGATCGGGCCCCAGCTCGCACCTGCCTTGGCCTGGTGCTGCCCGCTCACCTGCTCCACTATCCCGCCATGGTCCCGCTCTCATCGGGGCCCACTAGGGCCAGTAGCACTTCACTGCTGCCTGCTGCCAGTGTTGTGTCAACGCCGACCATGTTCCGTGCTGCCCCCCTGGTGGTCAGCGCATGTTACAGCAAGCGGTCTAATTCCCGGTCTCCCAGTCAGACTCCCAGTTGAACGACCACCTGAGGGGACAATTTGCATATTAGGCTTTTATTATGTAGGATATCCTTTCAGCACCATTCTTTTTTTTTACTTGTTCCAACACCTCCCTCTTCATTTTCTCCCAAAGAGCATTCATTCTTTTATCTAGCCTCAAAAGAAACTTGTTAGTCATTACTAACTGAACCCTGTGTAATCACATCTGTGATTCTTCAGATCTTAATTTTTTTAAATAACATTTATTGCATTTTATTTTTATACTAGAGGCCCAAAATGTGTCCATTTTTTGGGGGGGGAGTGTTCCTCAGCCTGGCCTGTGCCCTCACACAGTCCGGGAGCCCTCGGGGGATGTCCAACTGATGGCTTAGGCCCAGGCCTAAGGGGGAGTGGGCCTAAGCCATCAGTCAGACATCCTTAGCACTGCCGCGGAGTGGGAGGGGCTGCCGCCACCACCACTGTGCTCGCCAGCCATGAGCTTAGCATCTGGCTGAGCAGTGCTCCCCCCGGCCTATGGGAATGCACTGACCACCAGGGGGCAGCTCCTGCCGTGAGCATCAGCCCTCTGGTGGTCAGTACACATCATAGCCACTGGTCGTTCTGCTGTTCGGTCAATTTGCATATTAGCCTTTTATAATGTAGGATATTTCATAGTAAAAACAATCTAATTCTTTTCTGATCATTTAATGAAACTAATTAGCTCTTAAGAACAAATATAGTTTTCTGGGTATAAGTGGCAAACGCTGGGGCCAGGAATCAAACCCAAGACCCTTCAGTGTACAGAAAGACGGTACAACAAACTGAGCCACACCAGCCAGGGTCTGTTCCCATGAATTCTTGATGGGTGTTGCAAATACTAAATGAATAAAGAATTGTTTTGAATATGTGTCAGTAGAGTAAGAGCAATGTGTGGTATGAGGATGCTGTCCAAGTTCAAGCTATAACATGTTCTTTATGAGTAATTTGTCCTAATTTGTTGCCATCATTTTGCAAGCCATTTATTTTCAGGTTTTTCTTCATCTTCTTGAGCTCTACATATTGAAGAGCTCTAGGGCTCAGTCCTCAGAACTCTTCCCTTTTTTCTCTATACTTAACTCCCTTGGTCCAGTTTCTCGGCTTCAAACTTGTGCTTATCTCAATCTGGACCTCTCAGGGGTGTGTATCTCTGCCTATCTCACACCTCCAGTTGATGTCTGTCCTCATCCAAACTTTTGATTTTCCTCCTTGAACTACTCAAGGCTTCCCCATCTCAGTACATGGCAACTCATTCCTCTAGAAGTTCAAGTAAAAAGTCTTGTAATTATTCTTGACTCTCTCTTTCTCTCATGCAATACAGCTGATGTGTTGGCCCTTCCATATATATATCCAGAATCTTACCACTTCTCCCCACCTTCACTGACATCCCATCTTGGTGTAAGCTACCTCTTTTTTTTTTCTCTGTGATTATTGTAACAGCCTTCTAACTAGCCTCCCTGCTTCCACCTGTGCCAGCCTCAGTGTAGTCCCAACATATTTCACACCAGGTCAAGTCTCTGCTCTAAACTTCCCAGGGGGTTCCCCTTTCAGAGTAAAAACCAGAGACTTGGGATTGGCCTGTGCAGCTCTGCCTCATCTGTCTGTCCACTCACCTCCTCTGTCCTCAGCTCCTACCATGCTTCCCTCACTCACGCTGCTCCAGCCACACTAGTCCTCTTTCTATTTCTGGAACAATCTGACATGATCCTGCTTTGGGGCCTCTGTACCTGCTGCCTGGAGAGCTCTTCCCCCACATAATTCTCCATGGAGCCCGCCTCCCTCCTCCCTCCCTCTCTCCAGTCAGGGTTTTTGCTTTGTTTTGTTTTAATCCCAAAGTTACCTTCTCAAGGAGGCCTTCTCTCATGACTCTATTTAAAATTGTACCCTCCCACTCCCCCAGGACATTCCCTATCCCTATTCACTGACTTATTTTTCTCTGTAGCACTTATTGTCTAATAGAGTTTGTTTATATCTTTCTTGCTCTTCCCAGAAAGTAAGCCCCAAAGAGCATGGATTTTTTCTCTCCTCCCACTACAGCGTCAGCATTGTCTGAAACAGTGCCTGATACATAGGAAACACCCAGTACATTTTTGTTGAATGAATGAATGAATTCCAGTTTGTCGTGAGACTGAGTCACAATGTGGACGTACATTAGAACAAGAAGGGTGGCTTGTTTCCAGGTGGATTGCATCAGCAATTTGATGTTGGCACCATTGATGTACAAGCCATCTTTGTGTTGTGTCTTCATATGTCTTCTCTATAGGTTTTTCTGCATGCAACTCTGTGAAGAGAGTAAGTGTGGCACATATTGAGTGAGGGGCTGAGAGAGCCTTTCCTAGTGGCAGCAGTGTGTGTCTTCAGTATGTGTGTCTTGTCCCTGGCACCCTGCCACGCAGGGTCCAGAGGTATTCCATGGGTCCTCTGTCATGCTATTCCACCTTGGGTATAATGTAGTGACTATCCCAGTACCATAGTTCTATCATGTTAATCCTTCTTTCATTTCACCTGCGAGTCTTTTTCATTGTTCTTCATCTTCTTCCTTTCAACTTTCTTTTGCCCTTTCAACATTTCATTTCTCTAGAGGCCTTAAGTATAATTCAGCATCTTTCCATGTCTTAAAATTGTTAAATATTTCCGTTTTCAGAAAGCTAAAAAAAAAAAGTGTTATATTCTTTAGTTGAGTGAATACTCAGAAATTTATCTAGTTTTTAGAATTACTTTAATGCTCCGTAGAAAGATCAAAATAGGTGGCTGCTGAGGGTTGTAGCAGGTCTAAACAGAATTTCAAAAAGATAAAGCAAATAAGCACTGAGAAACTCACACAGTTCTTATAAACAGTCATTGCCCACTCCTGTCACTGTCAACACATGCAAATGAGCAAGGTCGTTTTTCTGGGCAGTCTGGATGTGCGTGCATTCCTTGGCCCAGGAGATCATCACATTTAGGTCAACCTGGAGGGAAGACACATACACATTTTGAGTCTATAAAGTGCATAAGCAATAGTGAGACTGTGGGTTTGGTTTTGTTTTTTCACTTACAGCCTCATCTCTGTTACATCAGACCCTATG